ATAGAAGATGTCGCCCTTCGATTTGTCTTTGTCAGTTCGCCTATTTCTTCCTAGTGAGACGAGTGAAATGTTCCGCCATTTTTGTTCTTACTACCAAAACAACTCAACCTCCTCCCCAAGTGTCCTCTCTTAATGGTTCAATAATCTACAACTTTGCTGCACTTTTGACGTCATCAGTTCAATAAGGCAAAATTCTTCCAAATTTAGCCGACGATAGCTTGTTATGATGAATTATGCATTTGATTTTAGCCCATCAGAAATTGAGAAATATTTTGAATGAATAATAATGTAAGATATTACCTTGATTTGTACATGCAGTTATCATAACAGGTAAGGTTAACTGTAACAAAAGATAGTGATACATGCAAGGGAGGTAACTCTACCATTTCTTTTTTTCTCAAGATACTCATCAAAAGAAATGAAGCTGGTGACTTTGTCTTCGTTGTTTTTGATTCTCGTTTTTATCTCAGGAGTGAACAGCTAGGAAAAGGTGAATATTAGTTACAACCTTGGTGCTAAAGGCAAATTGAAATTGAAAGGATTTGTTCTTAACAAAATGCAATCGTATGTGTGTTCTATTTTTAAAGATCCCAAATACGATTACAAAATCCCGTCACCCCAACCTTAATTTTCGCGCAATCCCATCATCCCGATGTTTGTTTTTGGCCTGCATCCCTTGCATTCTTGCAATCCCAAATCTCGCCCCCATTACGCTTGAGAATACCGAATTCCGGCTTTCAAAAAAGGGAAAATCCGCATCACGAAAAACCTATTAGGGACCCTCTATTCTAAGCTTTGGATGGGGAACTGAAAGTTTTTTGTCGATTAGCGCCATTCTGCAGCTGATAAAATGGAAAAAAAACTCAAATACTCTTTCAGATATACACTTCAATTTCGAAGGAGCTAGTTTGGAAGGCTTGAAAATTTGCGTGTAAATCAGAGACTGTTGTGGCATTATGATCGAGGTTTTGTGGGAAAAGTGAGTAAAAACAAAATCAATACCGTGACACAAAATCATCAGTGTACACATGTACCAGTACAGTAAGTCCGACAGGCTCAGAAATTGCAGACCACAGTAGTCTTTGCCTAGTTTTGCTAAACTAGTTTTACAATAGTTGAGCAACTTGATATTCACGTATATATGTGCTATAATTTTTTTTTATGTCACGCTTGTTTTGAGCCGGCTCTCAATGGAAGCCAGCACCCGGCGATTGATCGGCGCCTACTTTGGAATTTGTAGCCGCTTACTTGGCATTCTAATTGCCACTTTTCCCTCCCTAGTTTAATTACAGCCCCTACATTTGTCACAGCCGCCTACTTAAGGTTAGCCAGACGCCTACTTCAAATCCTATTGAGAACCCTGCAGCGCAGGGGGTGGTCGCCTTTGTATTTGATCCTGATATTTAGTTTCATGCATGTACTTGATTTTGTTCGGAATTCCCAATTATACGCAAAAATGTTTTAGCGTTATGAATGGGTAGCAAATAGCATGGCATAGACTCAAGCTTTAAGAGCGTGTCTCCGTAAAAACCGACCAGTGATTTTGGATCAAAAAATTAATTTCCCTTATATTCTGGGATATTAAAGCCTCCACCTCAGTAGTTGCAAAAATGCATTTCGTTTGACCGAAAAGTGATAAATATATTTTTTTACGAATTTTTGAATTTCCGGGCGGTCAGCGCCGGCACCATAGCCTTTCAAACTGCAAAAATCGCTAATATTGACCGCACTCTAGAAAACAAACACCTGGCTCAAAAAGACTAATTTTCTTTTCCGTATACAGATACACCACTGTAGATTTCCTAGCCATATCACAGTTCCGAATTATTTATTTATTTCAACGGCAATGATTTTTTCCCCAGCACGTGTTTTCGGCTTTCCATCAAAACACGAAAGTATGTGTGTATGTATGTATGTATGTAAATCTTTATTTAAACACGGGAAATCATCAGTTAAGCTTAAGTTAAAAACTAAAACTAATTACAACTGCTTTACATGATTGCCGTGTGGGAATCCGATATATCAGCTACCTTCTTGATATTTCGCTTAAAATGCTCAACGGATGCAGCGTTTTTTAAGTTTTTGGGCAAGTTATTCCATAACATGGCCCCGCTGTAAGAGAAGCTTCGTTTCAAATAATTGGTGCTTGGTTTGGACAAGGTCAGCCTTCCCTCAGAGTTTCTTAAGTTGTAAGCAGAGTGACGCTGAGAGAAAAGACTTTGCAGATATTCTGGAGCGAGGTCATTCATGGTTTTATACATCATTACGGCTTTTTGTTTCTTTCGTCGAAGAGATAGCCTCTCCCAGCTGAGGGTGGAGAGAAGGTGGTTTGAGCTCGCATCAAAGGGTGATTTAGTAATAACTCTGGCTGCACGATTCTGTAATTTTTGGAGCTTATCACTCAAGTAACCACTCAAACAGTCCCAGACGGGGCTGCAGTAATCAAAATGAGGCATAATTAAAGCGTTATAAATTTGAATTGCAGTTTCTTTGGATATAAAGGGCCGCACACGTTTTAGGGCGCCTATAGCTGAAGAGACTTTCTTGCAAATCTCTTCAACGTGTTTACCCCTAGAGAGTTGAGCATCTATGGTAAGACCCAAGGATTTGGTATGATCAACTCTCTTAATAATTTGGTCATCAATCCTGATTTCTACATCGTCACATTGGGCAGATAGTCTTTGTCTTGATCCAATAATCATTAGCTCTGTTTTAGCAACATTTAGACTGAGCTTGTTAGCTTTCAGCCAACAGCTAAGGTTATTTAATTCAGGGGTTAGAGCTAGCTTAAGCTCTGTTAACGTCTTAGCAGATAACGTAAGGTTGGTGTCATCGGCAAACATTCTTGGTACGGCGCCCCGCAGGGAGTTGGGAAGATCATTAATGTAAATTAAAAATAGCAAAGGACCCAATATGCTACCCTGCGGCACGCCGCAACTGAGGGTACGAGCAGATGATAGTTTGCCACTGACATTACATCTTTGGGTTCGGCCACTTAAGTACGACGAGAACCATTTCATAGCTGCCTGATCGACACCCAAGTACGACATCTTACGCAAGATGATCTCATGATCAATGGTGTCGAATACCTTAGTAAGGTCAATAAAGACAACGCCATTTAGAAGGCCATTGTCGATGTTTACTGACCAAGCATTTGTTGCCTCAAGCAAAGCCGTGAGCGTACTATGTAGAGAACGGAACCCTGATTGGCAACCTAGTAGCAATTTATTATCATCTAGATAATGGAAAAGTTGATTATAAACAATTCTTTCAAAAACTTTCGAAATTATAGGGATTACAGATATCGGCCTGTAGTTGTTAGGGTCCGATTTAATGCCCTTTTTAAAAAGTGGAGTCACTTTGGCTGTTTTCCAATCGTTTGGATATATCCCAGTGAGAATAGACTTTGAGAATATTGAGGTAAGAGAGGGTGCGACGATATTAGCAGCCATTTTCAACAATTTACTCGGAATCATATCAAGACCGGTGGCTTTCTTTTCATCAATTTTCGACAAAACGTTAGAAACAATATCAACACTCGGAATTCGCAGAGAAAACGAATGATCAGTGGGCTTTAAATAAGACTCAGGATTAACATCGACAACAGGAATCTTGTGCTAATACTTGCGCAACGTTTGTAAAGTGATCGTTAATAGTTTCCGCAATGTCCAAAGGGTTACTTGCTATTTTATCATCTACCTTGATCTCCAAAATATTCGTTGACTTACCACTGTTACGTGAAGTTAGCTCGTTGATAACATTCCATGTTTTGCGCAAATTACCTTTGTTGGCTTCAGGTTGTCAGAAACATAGAGTTTTTTTTGAGTTTAATTGCGTTATTTGCCTGATTTCTTGCACACCTAAATTGATCCCATATAGCCGGGTTATTGGAGGAGATTGCCTTCTTTTAAGGAAATCTCGTTTTCGGATTTTGCTCAGTAACTCTCTAGTAATCCATGGAGATCGTTTTTCCGAATTCTTTTTGATTTGAGTAGTGTGTGTTTATCGACGCAGCCAAGAAACATTTCTTTCCAAACACGCCACATTTCATTTAGATCAGAATACAAATCAACATTGGCCCAAGGCAGTTGCTTGAGGTCAATTAAGAATTTTCCTCTGTTAAAGTGATTAAATTGTCGTGTTTCAATCACACGAGGGCCAATAGAGCAGTATTGAGTCTTACGTGGCCAAAAAAAGAGAGAAAAATCATTTATGCCTGTTTGTAACCTTCTCTGGGAGTTTGTTAAGCATAGATCAATTAATGTTTTTGAGGGCGGGGTGACACGTGTTGGCTCAGTGATGAACTGACTAAGACCATAAATATCGAAAATGTTTATCAGTTGGGAAGAATTAACTGTAATTGCTTCAGGCAACAAAATGTAGTTGATATCACTGACTAAATATAAGTACTTATCTTCCGCGTCAATTTTAGCAATAACATTCTCAAATTCGCTAAATAAATTGGGTGGAGAACTTGGGGGTCGATACCAAGTACCGACCAGAAATGGTGTACTTCGTGGCTTACTGATTTCAACAAAAAGAGACTCTAAAAGATCATTATTTAAATCATTACGTATTCGATAGTTCAGATTAGTGCGTACGCATGTACATACTCCACCTCCATTCCTTCCGTTAATTTTACGGTCTTTTCTGACTATTTCAAAGCCAGGTATGTAAACTTCGTCATCACGTACTGTAGAGTCTAATTTTGACTCGTTGATATGTAAAATATCAACTTTTGAAGAGGACATAAAAACTCTAAGTTCGTCAATATGAGACAACAGACTATTAATGTTCAGGGATGCTATAGCTAAACCTCGACCAAAGATTGTGGGACAGCTGGACTTACCGCGGTCGGTACCCTTATGGACATCAGCCGAGTCGGATTCCCAGACGGCAATATCCTAGTCTACACGTAAATGGTTAATGAAGTTTTGAGCTAGGCGCGAGGTGCCTTTCTTGTTTAAATGAAGACCATTTCGATTTAAGTGGCTAGTTATTGAAATGTTAGAGTGGTCAACAAAACCCCAGTTCTTTTGCTTGCAGCATTCCTTAAGAACTTTGTTCACGTCAGGTACTTTACATGCAAGGGCTTCATCATCAGATCTATTGATGAGACCGGATATAGATATCATAGCTGAGGATTCAGAGCTGACTGCTTCGGCTAGGTCAATCAGTTCTACTGCACATTCACGAGGAGTATTGGAGGATCGTAAACTATTGGTTCCCACATGGATAATTATCTCGTCTGGGTTTCTGCGTAGTAGTGGCTTGATATGATCCTTCATGTCTTGCGTTGTGCATCCCGGAAAGGTGGCTATCTTAACTTTTGAATTCTTGGACATTTTATGGCTTTGTAGGTATTTAAGAGTAGAATCCCCCGCTATAATAACTTTCTTCTGACGGTTGGGCTGTGAATGATCAAGTTGATTTGACGAATTGATTAAGTCAGCGTTGCGCGTTCTGATCTCTGAGGACGACGAAGATGTTCTGTGTCCTTTGACAGCGCTATTCCCATTCTGATTGCTTACATTTCTTTCAATTTGACCTTCAACTTGAAGAGGCTCAAATCCGTTACGGGTTTGAATTATATTAGTGGGCATTGTTTTCTGCCTATGTTTTGCATTTGTACTTCTCGGGTGCGGCTTTGCTACGGACCAACGATCACTTGATTGTAGTTGATTGTTTTCAACTTCACTCTTTTCTCGCGTAATGATTGTTAGTGCTAACTTTAAAGAATCATTTTCTTGCTCTAATGACAGAACTCGGCTTTCAAGGAGCAAACATTTTTCTTCCAACTCATTAATTGCATTGTCTTTTTTAGATATAGTGGATAATAACTTTTCACACTTCTTTTTGTAGTCGAGGAGCTCGACACCTAAAGCATTTCCATCTTGTTTTTGAATATTTTCCATCGACAGAAGCTTTGTATTTTCTTGAACTTGCTTCTGAAGGATCAATAAATCGAGTTTCAATCCCTCAATATCGGCAATGATTTCTGAATTTGGTCGCTTTTCAGAACCATTTAGCAGACTCTCACCATCAGTTGCCATCATGCGTTTCAGTTGTCTTTCTCGGTTTCTTGTGAATTAATTCTATCAGCCTATCCTTTAAAGCGGGACCATCGCGGCCCTGAAAATTCAGAGTTTGTTGTTTCTTGTTGTACCAATTGATGATAACATTGCCGTTTGAACATTTAAATTGCTTTGTATTCCCACCAGGCGTTAGCCACTTTCCTTGCAGTTTTAAAACATTTTCCACGAATTTCTTTAGAGATTCCAAGTCATTCATCCATACCAACTTTCCGTCATTAAGATGAAGATACTCTAGCTCACAAGACTCTGGATTGAGCGAGGAGGACTCGGTTTAGTAGCTCAACTTTGAGGGTAATTTTAAAAAGTGTGGCACCTGTCTGAACTTCGCTATCTGTATGAATACAATCTAGGAATGATAATAAAACTCAACAAGGAATAACATTTTTGTGCTCTCCACGTTTTCAGAATAGACCGCCGTTTGAATTTCCAGAAATTTCGTAAACCTGATAATTAACGAACACTTGCCTTGTCCATCTGCTTGTCAAAGTCCAACTTCATTTGATGGCGTGATAGGTCTTATCCAAGTTTTTTCACATTTTAAAGTTATTTCTCAATCATCTGAAACTATATTGGCCGTTGATTCCATGTCCTTGTCCCGTTTTAAGAAGTTATCTGGTTTATAAAATGGCAGTATCCGCGAGCGTGACTGGTTCGTGACACCGTCCTGAAAGGTCTTTTGCTAAAATTAGTTGGATGCAATCTTGTTCATTGTGATTACTCTTCAAGACATCGCGGTGAAATTTCTAGGGCAAATAAAACACTTTTCTTTGCAAATAAAACGCGATGAGTCGCTAACAAAGCGATTTAACCCAGTTCAGATTAAAGTTGAGATATGTGTGACTTTGTATTTCATCCCCAGTCCTCCTGGACTGGACTCAAAACAAACAATGGGTAACATGGCTACTGATACAGTAAAGTGTTCTTTCTCGGGCTTCGGAAAATCTAGTTGTGGAGGTTTTCGAGGTTCGGATACAGTATGTAGGTTGCGAGAATGCCAGGAAGATATAACGATCCACTTGAAGACATGCCATCTTTCAAAACTATCTGGAATGATGGAGTACGAACTGATACTAGTCAGGGCGGGGCTATTCGACGTGCCACCACACCGGCAAGAAGAAATGTTCGTGTGTCCAAAACACAGACATAATTTGGGTCGCAACTGGCGTCCTTTGAGGACATGTTGATATCCTCTTCATTCAGGAGCGAGGAAAAAGCTAAAAAATGATCATGTTATCAACTTGGAGATGTCCAAGAATATTCACGCAATATTTGGAATCACAATTCCCATTGGGTCAGGTAAGCATTCTACTACACAATATTTTACGTTTTCCCTTTTTTGAGGAGCAACGATTGGCACAGTTGGTTATTGCGTAGCCCTTGGAGTCTTCTGAGTGAGAGGTCTCGAGATTGATGCCCATGGCCAGGTGTGACAAATTCTTTCCGTGTAGCTTCAAGTAGCTTTAAATACCCGTACAACGGAGTACTGATGAAGAGGGGGTTTAAAAAGGTTTGTCTTTCAGATAATGATGAAATGATCATTTCGAAGAATCGACGTATGTGAGGTGCCTTTACTTTTTAACTTTCAATAGAATAAAAGAACTCATAAAACCAAGGTAAATGTCATGGTCAAGTATTCCGAATTGTATAACAAACTGTAAATCTAATTATAAATAAAGACTAAAAGAGAAGGTCGAGAGAATAACCATTCAACGTTGTTGTAAAACCTTGAAAGAGAATCATTCCATAAGGTGTTTATTTTTCCGGCTATTTATATCATAACCAGTTATATTTTTTGGCAACAATGCCACGATGTAAGTGTAGAAATCTTGGATTGAGTAAATAACAAGTATGAAATGAACATTCTTGTTTTACATTGTTTGGTTAAGCGCGTTAGTATAATTAGGACAAGTATATTTGTTACAACACAGATGTTCAAAAATACACAAATAATCCTGGATTTTTGCGAGATGTAAAAGGTGCTTAGAATGTCTTTACAGAACTGTCTATTTTTTACGTTGATTCATAGCGTTCTATTTTTAAAGGTAAGAGATAATTTCGGTAAAGTAGCCTAGATGCACGTGACCCACGAAATTATCCGAAAAACTTGGCAATGTTCCCCTTCTTTAAAAACCCTTTTTGTGACCATCGGGGATTTTTGTATTTGCAAACCTGCCATATGCTATATCCTGAAAACTATTTTTCGGACACCTCAAGACCGGGAGATTAAAAACTGTTTTGAGTTTATTTTGCCAGTTGTCAATTATCAATCCGATAGATCAGAATCAGTGTTGGTTCTAAAAATAAGTTTTACGCTACGAATCGACTTTGATTAAAAGTTAATTTCATCATTGTGATACTTTTTAATGCACAGCAATTTGCACTACTTGTGTCAAGAAGCAAAGACAAAAATATGAGGAAAATAAACGTTGGCTGGAGGAAAACACTGAGAGTGAGAAATTAGGAGAACATGAAGAGACAAGGTGTGTTTAAATACCTTTAAATGGAACACTGAAATGTTAACTCATTTTAATTGCCATTGCAAGTACTTGTGAAGTCTTGTGCACACAATTTCTCAAAAAAATAACACGGGTATACACGTCGAACCAGTATGGTCTAAAATCACTGGTATGTCTATGGTAAATATGAATTGTATGAAGCGGACACTTTTTATGGCGATTTTTCTTTTTTTCTATCAGGGTGTGTTTATGCGTGTGGGAGTGTTAAATTGTTAAAAAATCTTGCTGGGTTGCTATTTCATACTTACGACCATTTTTGTTGTTGTTAATTATACTGTGTAGACTGGCAAAACAAATGGCTGCGATGGCCTTGAAGAACAGCTCAGAGATGCCATGTATCCCGATAGCTTCTAGATTGGCACCATCCAGTGCCATTACACCCGTGGACTGGACGCCCGGAGAGTGGTCTGGAGAAGAAAGTGAAAATTCTCAAGACGGGGACGAAATAGAAGGAGAAGAATCATTGATAACGACATACAATGAGGCAATGGCTAGTTTATCAGAAAAGACCACGATCGGAAAAGTCAGCCCATTGACCTTTCAGTTAGAAACTGGATGGGATGAAGCGACGGACGTGGAAAAGGGAAAATGCATTGAAAAGGCTATGGAAGGATGCAAAGTCGTATGTGAAATAATAGCACCAAACGCTGGGGATCAACTTTTTAGATCATGCGCTCAATTATCAGATCGGACCAACGAAAATCCTTCTGGTGACTTGCTTGCTCTAATGCAGGCGTACAAAAATGCTCCAACAGGGAATCTTAAGACCCAGATTCTAAGTCTTTATGCATACCGCTACCCTATGGAAAAGCTACAAAAGCTACACGAGCCCTTCGAAAGCATAACTATGTGGCAAATAAAGAGGGCAAGAGCTCATGCTCGCGAATACGTTCCAGGTTTTACCCTTGAAAAGGCTTCAAGTTATCGTGTTCGACTTGACACAGCCCTTGTGGCTCATTTTATAGAATTTGTAAACAGACCATATTTTTATCAAGACGTTTCGTTTGGAACCCGAAAATTGAAATTGGATAATGGCGAACAAGTGACCATGCCCAATGTAATTCGCACAGTAACTCGCTCCACCATGATACAACAGTACCTGCAGTTCTGCGAAGAAGAAGAGATAAAGCCACTAAGCCGTGCAACTTTGTTTCGGATCCTCGAGGTCAGAGAAGCCTCTCAACAAAAGTCATTAGCTGGTCTCGACAATACCGCAACTGACGGATCTGCCAGTTTTGAAAAAATCAAGCAAATTGTGGACGACCTTGACCAGATTGGTCAAGAAGAAGGTTGGTCGGAGGACATAAAGAAGTCGCTTCAGAATGGCAAGCAATATTTGAAAACGAAATACCGTAAACATTGCCAACGAGGAGAGAGCACATGCCCCGACCATTGTGTCAAGTTTGCCCTTAGTGACCCTAATGATGAGGACCTTCAAGAGAAATGTGAGCATGAACATACATCTGCCTGTAGCCATTGCGTTGAACTTTCTGTCTGTCTGGACAAGGTAGAACAAGCGATCAAAGGTGAACACACCCAGTTCTACAGTAAAGAACAACAAGAAGATATGCTATATGATTTTCAGAGGTCTGCTAAGGCTGTCAATCACTGGAAATCTCATATTATGAGGTCAGCAAATCAAAAGCGCGCAAAACAAGATATCCTTGAAGATTTAGACTCTAGCTCAAACTTAATAATTATGGATTGGGCAATGAAATTTGTTCAGATGAGATACCGCGAAAAACAGAGTGATTGGTTTGGGAAAAGGGGCCTGAGCTGGCACATAAGTAGCGTGATATCGCGTGACCGTTCGACCGGAGAACTCCAAGTTACTTCTTACGCTCATTTATTTGATCAATGCACCCAAGATTGGTTCGCGGTTGCATCAATAATTGAAGATCTTCTAACACACGTGAAAATGAAGCAACCCGGGCTAAAAAGTGTTTTTTTGAGATCTGATGAGGCGGGTTGCTATCACAGCAACTTTCTGATTGCGGCGGTTCGTGACATTGGACAAAGGGTTGGCGTTGCAGTGGAAGCCTATGACTTTTCTGAACCGCAAAGCGGGAAGGATGTATGTGACAGGATTCTCTGTCCTCTAAAATCGTCCGTCCGAACGTACTGTTCCGAGGGTAATGATATTCTGTCTGCGTCCGACATGAGAGATGCTCTTCAGAAACATCCTGTCAGAGGAACCTCCGCTTCAGTGAATATGGTAGACGAATTGAAAAAGAGCCTTCAAGTGAAGAAGATTGATCATTTTAGCGGTTTCCACAATTTCACATTTCAGAGCTCAGGAATAAGAGCAAGAAGAGCCTATAAAATTGGTCGAGGAAAGCTTTTTCCTTATGACACTTTGTATTTAAAACACCAAGAGGCGACTGGCCTTATGACAAAAGACGCTGATAAAACACTTTTTGAGCCAATTAAAGAAAGACGTCTCAAGACTAAGACGCCTAAGGATGTACAATTGCCCAGTGGTACAAATGCGGAAAAAGATACAGCTCTCTTTGAATGTGTATTTCCAGGTTGTACGCAGGTGTTTGAGTTCTTTTCAGATCTAGAACAGCACCTTGACGTAGGGAAGCACACCAGCAATCAAGAAACGACGAAGAAGAGTGAAAGCTTATATGACAAGATCAGAAAGGACTGGGCAACAAAATTTACATCAGTGGATGTGGCTGTGAAAAAATCTACACCATTTATGTTAGCGTCCGAATCATCAACTGACGTAGAAACCCTGCAGATCGGATGGGCACTAAGCAAGGCCCACGCAGGTTCCATTCGGTTTTCTCGTGAGGTTAAAGAATATCTCACAGCCAAGTTTGAAATTGGTGAGCGAACTGGCCGCAAGGCGGACCCTGTTCAGGTTGAAAAGGATATGAGAACAGCAACAACCCCCTCTAATGAAAGACGGTTCAGTCGCACGGAGTGGCTAACTAAAACGCAGATACAGAGTTTCTTCTCTCGCCTTGCAGCTTCCAAACGGAAAGAATCAGGAACTGTGGGATTTTCTATGGAACAAGAAGAAGATATCGAATGTCTTGTGGAAAGTGCAGAGCATCAAAATTTAATGGCAAATATTGTTGAAGCAATTGGATTGAAGCACCCTATTACATACGACACGTATGATCTTTGTGACTTACATCGACAGAACAGACTTCCTGCTTTTAATGTCCAAATGCTTAAGAAGGTACTTTCCTATCTTGAGGTCCCCTTCAGATCTAAAGAAAGGAAAGCTGATCTGTTGGACAAGCTCAGAAAAGTTGTCACGGAATGTGAATGCTAGGGTCCAGTTCAGTGAATTTCCGCGCAGCGTGGGGTCCTGGGAAGGACGTGGAAACCGTAGTAGCGTGGCCATGGTTTCTCAATTCCCTTAGCTGAAATGTGTTGAACCATTTTTGTCGGTGCATTTATGTTAAGCTGAAGACGAAAATTTATCGAAGTATGGCGATTCAATGTTAATTACATCAAACTTTACAGAAAATGTTACGAAACAACCGTGTCACGCTCGCAACTGATGGCTCTATTACTTTTATACAAACTAGATAAAAGATGCCGTTGAAGGACAGGTTTTAAGAAAAATTCAATGTTTTTAGAGTTAAAGCGGTTACTGCAGGAGCAAACATATCCTCTACAAAAACCAAGAGGGAGATTATAACCTAAGAAGTTAATAAAGCAAGTGAACGAGCTACTGTAGCTTTTGTTAATTATAATTACCGTATCAGGTCATCACCCAGTGCAGGAGAACTGGGGATGAAATACAAAGTCACGCATCTTTCAAGTTTGTCAGGAGACTGGGTTAAAACGCTTTGTCAGCGACTAATCGCGTCGTATTTGCGAAGGAACGTGTTTTATTTGCCCTAGAAATTTCACTGCGATGTCTTGAAGAGTATAACCTCAATGAACAAGATTGCACCCAACTAATTTTAGCAAAAGACCTTTCAGGACGGTGTCACGAACTAGTCACGCTCGCGGATACTGCCATTTTATAAACCAGATAACTTCTTAAAACGGAACAAGGACATGGAATCAACGGCCAATATGTTTCAGATGATTGAGAAATAACCTTAAAATGTGAAAGAACTTGGATAAGACCTATCACGCCATCAAATGAAGTTGGACTTTGACAAGCAGATCGACAAGGCAAGTGTTCGTTAATTATCAGGTTTACGAAATTTCTGGAAATTCAAACGGCGGTCTCTTCTGCAAACGTGGAGAGCACAAAAATGTTATTCCTTTTTGTGTTTTACTATTATTCCTGGATTGTATTCATATAGATAGCGAAGTTCAGACAGGTGCCACACTTTTTAAAATTACCCTCAAAGTTGAGCTACTTTTGTGTTTTGATGGAAAGCCGAAAACACGTGCTGGGGAAAAAATCATTGCCGTTGAAATAAATAAATAATTCGGAACTGTGATATGGCTAGGAAATCTACAGTGGTGTATCTGTATACGGAAAAGAAAATTAGTCTTTTTGAGCGAGGTGCTCGTTTCCTAGAGTGCGGTCAATATTAACGATTTTTGCAGTTTGAAAGGCTCTGTCGCCAGCGCTAATCGTCCGGAAATTCAAAAATTCGTAAAAAAAAGTATTTATCACTTTCGGTCAAACGAAATGTATTTTTGTAACTACTAAGGTGAAGGCTTTAATATCCCAGAATATAAGGAAAATTAATTTTTTGATCCAAAATCACTGGTCGGTTTTTACGGAGACACGCTCTTAAGAGTGGTTGTCAGAGAAAACCGGGCAAAATGTTAAAAATGTCAACGGAGGGGGGTCAACAGAATAAGTTTATACTAACATCATAGATAGGTTAGGTGGAGTAATGGACAAATATAATAAACATAGGTTCTTCACCGCTCTTGTATTAGAGATACGAGTGTCACTCTATTCGATCCCCTCGGACGCCATTTTTATAAGCAAATTTTCACCATTTTCTGAAACTCACAGAACCCTCAAAATTTAACGAGCGAAGTTTATTTTTTGCATGCGATACAACACATCATAGAACTACTTTCTAAAACCATAAGAATTGTTAAGCAGCCACGGACAAGACTAAAATTTTCTTATTTTATCTGACCTAAACTCAGTGTCTGCAAAGGAGCAAAAAATCGGGCATTTTTGAATTGATCTACAGCGCACAACTAAAACGACAGAACAACTCTGACAGCCAAATTGCAGTCTACTATCACCCATGTAACCAAAACACTAATAATCATTTTGGGCCATTGAAACAGGAAGAAATTAGAAAACTCACATTTGTTATAGTTTCCAAGCTTTTTCTTGCAAACAGGCCGATCCCTTCGTGCTTGTTTTAAGTCCTCTTCGTGAATTTTCTTCCATATTTCGCTGTAAAGTATGTTCAGCAGCTGGAGGAAATATCAAAAAGCTCGAAATACTGCCTAGGTTACATGTTCAAAGGGCAAAAAGTACTGAACAACAGGATGAAACTAGAAAATAACAAAGCGACGCCATCTTGAAAATTCAGCACTCAGGAGGGACTGGCACTAGTAGCTGCCTTGTCCTACCAAAGAGATAAAAAGCAAAAACAAGCAAACCGGCTTATGAGTTACCTACTACAGTCCTATTTCTGCTTCAATCACTACTTTTAGCTAAATTTAGCTTTTTTTGTGTTGTCGGGTTTTTTGTGGCGGAGTGATAGGTTGTGGTGAAGATGACCAATTGGCATTACTTTATTCAGTCTTCATTTACTCTTCATTCACTTCATTTTGAGTTATTGTATCATCTATTTTTGCGTCAGTCTTCAATCACCGTCCATGTCCGAAGGTCCACTCATCTCCTGTTCATGATTTAATGATGCGCTTTTCATAGTCCGGAAGACTTCGCCCGAAGGGTACCTTTTTCAAGCATCAGGTGTTACGAAGGGTAGGAAAATCACAAGTTGAAGTATGTGAAAGGAGAGGAAAATCTTTCATTAAGTATTTTAAAGGGCCTTTTATTAAATGCTTCGAAGAAACACGCCTTATGGCAATATTATTTACATGTTAATTCAGTTAAAGGTTACACGAAAATGGCCCGAAGACCTCCTTTCTTACCGATTTGTTCTCACAAAGCATATATATGAAAAGGGTACAACTTTTCAATGGAAGATACACGAAAGGGGTACCTTTTGTCAAAAATAGTATATATAAGGGTAAGGGACTGGACCTCGGAGCGAAACTTCTCCGAACAAAGCTTTATTGAGTAGCCTCCGACCCCCCTCCCCTTCTCCCTAGGGCTTTCCACAAGTTGCTCGGCAACTTTTTGGCAACTTCTAGTATTTCGAGCAACTATTTTCGTTTCAAGCAACTTTTTGCATAATTTCTGAGCAATTTCTCTTATCTGAGCAGCTCTTAGTGCTTACATTGGCCTTGCTTCCATATTGCACAGTGTTTTAGTAGACAATTTATGAGATTCTCACCCCTCGGGGGCAGATGATGGGCACAAGATGCAGCTGGGCTGCTAGGTCAGAGGTTTTTTTGAACAAAAAGGCAAAATGAGGGATTTCGATTCACACTTGACTGACACGAGTGTCTGAAGAAGGTCATTAAACAATTTTAATGGCTCATACTAGAATTTTTACAAGATTAATATTAATATTGATGTGTAGTCTTTACTCATACATTTTTTGGTTTTAATTGTGGTTTACGGGCTCCTGATGGCGGACAGAGTTATCTAGCAACGCTAATTACGCTGCGAAATAGCACAAAATTACGTTTTTATACTCTACCAGGAGCCATATTTATCTAAATCGGGGTCGTAGACCGTAACTGGATACCTTTTTCAGGGATGGGGTTGACTTCATCGAAATATCAGGGGCACCCAACGAGAAGATAGTTCAAAAACCACTTAAACATAGCATTGTTAAACGTATTTTAGTATTTAAACGGTAGATATGGGCATATTTTTATCCCCTATAAATTTTTCATCTGTTCGGATTTCCTAGCTGAAAGTCTAATGATCCGAAAATTATAGGGATCAACACTTACCTTTTCGAAAATTTCAGCTAGAAAAAAGGCTCCCGAAAATTCTAGGTGACCTTTTAAGGGTAAAAATTCGTTTAAAATGGGCCATTATACCATTTTTTAGATGTTCGAAAATCCTAGGAGAGGCAGGCAAGCAAGAAATTTTACAATGAAATGTTCCGAAACTTCTAGATCGCAAATCGTCTTCCAAACAGATATTTTCTGAAAATTGTCGTTGGTTGCCCCTGAAATATATATCATAGCCATCAAATGTGCTAATTTTAGCACATTTTGTTCCATCTCGTGTGACTCGCTCGCGCATTTTTTGCAACAGCGCCGTAGAAAAGATTAACAAACGAAACGGCGTTGGAAATTACCTCCTTAGGAGATGCATGATAAATTCCATTTCTGTCATCATTGCCTCCTCTGAATTTAAGGCAAGACCTTGACAATTTCTCTAAATGTGAGGACTGCTTATGTTAAACAACGTAGTGAGAATGTTTTTGACAAATCCAGTGACACAAATCACAGCTACACCAGTAAACTAAAAGGAACCTAGTGGCTGTAAACGTCCAGGTGTGCGACTTCTATCAATGATCAATATGATGGAAAAGGTACCAACTCGAGTTAACACTCGGACCCCTTTTACAAATTTTTGAACGGCCAAAAACTTGCACGGATCCGCCTTTTCTTTACTTGCGACCCGCGGAACCGTGCAAGTTTTTGAGCTGCAAACAGTACCGCAATCTGTAAGAGAATTTGCGCGTTCCCTCTAAACGTGGCGTTTATCTTGTGTGGACCGTGCAAAGAGCATTCTGAAAAAGAAGTGAGTGGGAAAAACAATGAGGGGAAGCGGTACGGAGTGAGAGTCGTAAAAACTCCTTTAATGGTACTTTTAACAAAACTGAGCTCCTTCCGGATCCTTCCGGTATACCAGGTTATGGTAAACGCTATGAATGGTTTATTTTGACAGCTCTTGTCAACATTGGAAGGTATATTACCTTATGGAAATACGAAGTGACAGCGATGAGATCATCAGTTAGAAGGCTTACTTTCAAAAAAGTACCTCGTCCGCTAGCTCTCTTGGCCGCTTTGCGGCCTAAAATGCCCGTTCCGCAAACTGATTCAACTGCATGTACTATGTTTATTTTAACAAACAGTTGGTAATAAAAATTATTACAAATTTTACAGCAAGCAATATCCACTTCCCGCAGTTAGCCCGCACGCTTCGAAACTCGCGAGGTTAATATATAGCAAGTCCAGCTAGCTCGCATGAGAGCGAGGTTAAGTGATTCATAAAGAGACAAAATAGATCTTTAATAT